ACCCGGGCTCAGCCCCACTCACTCCCACTCCGACACGCGCAACACTCACTCGGCGAAGCGCTCCAGGGCCCCTCTCCCCCAACCACAGCTCTCAGGAGCCTTGCCCCCACCCCACCCATCCACAGGCCTCTCCCCTGCCCCACCCCCCCGCCAAGGTCACAGCTTTGCTGGGGTCCACTGATGAGAGGGCAGGCCCACTTCCGTCATCCAGCTGTGATAGCTTTACCACCTGCATGTGGTTATGAGTGTTCACGTGAGCGGGATGGACGTGTGTGCCCGTGCCTGCCACGGAGGGGTGTGGGGGTCACTGGTCCTGTGCCCTGTTGGTCTCAAGCCCCCCCCCCGGCTGCTCCAGCTCCTTCCCCCCAATCTGGGTGCCCAGCATTAGCTTCTTGTAGGGGTCAAAACCCTGGGAGACCCCCGCATCTCTCCCTCCGTGGCCTTCTCTGGAACCCCACTCGAACCCCAGAAAGCTCTTTTGCACAGTGGGTGCTCAGGCTGCCCTCTGTGGGGTGACGAGGAAGAGGAGGATGAAGAAGCAAAGACTAAGGCAGGGTCTGGAACAAACTGAATGAGGCCACCACATCCATGCTGTCTGCCTCTCTCTAAACCAGCCTCCTCCTCTGTGATGCGGGGCGGCTGTAGCAATTCCAGGGTTGCCTGGTGGGCTAACTTGTAAGTGACGAGCAGCAGGCCCAGTGTCAGGCCCTCAGAAGGGCTCAGGACAAGGGCATCCCACCCCGGCTACGCTCACTGTGCCCTACCTGGCACACGCCCTGCTCAGCAGGATCCAGGTGGCACAGAGCTCGGGGGAGAGGACCTGGGGCAGCCCCCACTGCGAGAGTGCCCCAAGCCTGCTGAGCGTGTGCCCGCTCCTTGAAGCCAGAGTCCCTTCCCCCTCTCATGTCTGCACCTCTGCCCCGGGCATGTCCACCATCTGCAAGGTTTAGATACGGGGTGTGGCGCTGTCATCTCAGGCCCTTTGGACAGCCTGCCAGGGCTCCTTGTCCTTAGAGCCTGTAGCAGGGAAGGATGGGATTAGACTTCAGGAAGCACTTACCAAGGACAGTGCCTGGGCTGCCTCGGGTGAGGGATTGTGTCTGACCGCAGCCTAGAGCAGGAGGGGATGGGACTGGCAAATAAGCCAGAGAGGTCCCCGATGGACCAGAAAAATGTGTGTGTGTGTGCATGTGTGTGTGCGTGAGCATGTGTGTACGTGTGTGCGTGTGTGTGCATGCATGCACGTGTGTGTGTCTTGCATGTGGTTACTTACATGCTTGTGAACCCCAATCAAGTGCCCGGAGTTGGTGTCGGTGCGTGGAGATGGGTTTATCTGTACGTGTGGATGGGTGCACGTGTGTTTACGCACACGTGGAAGCAGGGAAGAGGAGTTTCCAAATAAGCAGAGGAGGTGCAGCAGGGGAAGTGGCTCCAGAGTCAGGGATCCCACATGCGCACAGGTTTGGCTCGGTGCCGCCTCCCCTGCAGGGCTCGCAGCCGCTAAGAGCTCCCCCCACTCCGTAGGGGCTCCGTGAGGGCAGCAAGGGCACCTGCACGCCCCCAGAACCTGGAACAGCCTCTGGCCTTGAGGCTGCCTGAGAGGAGCTCAGGTCCGTGCAGGTGCTGCTTCTCGGGGCGTGGCACTGGGGGAGCCACGTCCCCTTGGTCATCTCACGTGATCCATGTGACGTCAGTGCTGCTAAGCTGGGACCATTATCTCCATTTCACAGAAGGGAAAACTGAGGCTTGGAGAGCAAAAATGCCCTGCCCTGCGTTGCACCAGTAAGGAGAAGAGGCGGGAATCCAGACCGTGTGAGCCCAGAGCCTTCGCTCTTTCTGGTTCATCACATGGGAAATCGAAACCCGCGTCTGTCAAGAGTCCCAGAGGGGGCAAGAGTTGTGAAGTAGTAGGTTAAACCTCCTCCTGCAGCGCCAGCATCCTGTATGGACACCGGTTTGAATCCTGGCTGCTCCATTTCCAATCCAGCTCCCTGCTGATGTCCTGGGAAAGCAGTGGAAGATGGCCCAAGTGCTTGGGCCCCTGTACCCAGTGTGGGAGACTCAGAAGAAGCTCCTGGCTTCTGATAGGCCCAGCTTTGTCCGTTGTGGCCATTTGGGGAGTGAAACAGCAGAGGGAAGCCCTCTCTCTCTGTCACTCCCTCTCTCTGTCTGTAATTCTGCCTCTCAAATCAATCAATCAATCTTTTTTTTTTTTCTTTATAAAGAGTCCTGACTGCTTGCCCTCTCACCCTTCATTCGCCCGATGAACACCGTCAGGAGCCCACCTGTGGGGCCGGCGCAGTGGCACAGCACTGCACCCCATCAGAGCATGGGTTGGGGTTCCTGATGCTCCACTTCCAACCCAGCTCCCTGCTGATCCTCTTGGGAAAGCAGCAGAACATGACCCAAGTTCTTGGGCCCCGGCCACCCACACAGGAGACGGGGGTGAAGCTCCTGGTTCCTTGCTTTGGCCCAGCCCAGCCCTGGCCATTGTGAACTAGTGGATGGAAATCTCTCTCTGTCTAACTCTGCCTTTCAAATAAGTAAAATAAGTCTTTTTAAAAAATAAAAAAAATACCTACTTACCTTGTACCTGGCATGAGACTAGGTGCCAGGGGACCCAGCAACCCTCCTCCATGGAGGTAGTGTCTACCAATGTATGCGCAAGATTCCTCCCTTCACGGAATTCACGATCCAGGGTGGAGAGAAACAGGTGATGTGTGTTAACAAACAACCTCTTTTCAGAGTAACGAGTGTTACTAAGGAAATACAACGGGGGCGTGGGAAGGAGTAACTGGGAGCTGGGTAAGGCTATTTTTCAAGGTGCAGTCGGGGGGACCTCCTAGAGGAGGTGAAGTTAAAGCTGAGACTTTCTCCGATAAGAAGTCAGCGTGGGAATTGCTGGGGGAAGGGACTGGAGTTTCTCAAGAGCAGCAAGGAGACCTGAGTGAATGCTGAGCATGCGGCGTGGTGGGGACGGGGCTGGAGAGGGTGTGCGTGGAGACGGGGAGTGGGGACAGGGCTGGAGAGGGTGTGCGTGGGGACGGGGAGTGGGGGCAGGGCTGGAGAGGGTGTTAAGGGCTGGCCCATGGTAGGCAGGAAGGCTGCTGTGCAGAGCGCAGTGGGAAGAAGAAATGTTCTGAAAATGATGGCTCCATGCACCCCAGGAGAGTGGACTGAGGTGGTGATGGTCGGAGTGGGAGCCCCAGAATTAGATAAGGAGGAGACCAGGCACGGGGTGGCGGTGGCTTGGCCTCCTGTCTGGCCATGGGGATGTGAAGAGTGGATAGACTGAATATTTGTGGAGGTAGCAGCAACTGATGAACTTGTACATGGCTGGATCCCAGTGCCCACAGCATAGTAAGCGCTCAACATCTACTTGAATGAATGAATGAATAAATGAATGAACCTCCTGGTGCTGTGCTCTCTAAATACTTGTGCATACCCTCCAGTATGAGACGTGCCAATGAAGACCACCCAAGACCCTGAAGGGCTTCTGCACCTTGTGCCCTTGGATCTGGGCTGGAGAATGCAGGCACTGCCCACATGGGCTGCATACAAACCTGACATTGACTTTCTGGGAAGATCTGGCTTGGAAGCAGCTAGTCCTTCTCTCCCCAAGAGAATGAGAACACCCCACCAGGATTGCCCTAGGCTCCTAATCCTTTTGGCATCTGCAGCAGGAGGGATGGAGGCTAGAGCTACAGGACTGTCCATAGGCAGAGAGGGCCAGTCCCCCTTGTCTGGGTTGGCCCTCCAGGATCCGTGGCACTCAGAGCAGCGAGGTGTTGGTCATGTGAGTCCTGGGCAGATCCTGGTGAGAAGACTGTCACGTGGATTTGGGTGCCTTGAGCACACGTGACAAGCACCTGATGGGTGTCTGCAAAGAAACTCTGGTACCTTGAGCTTTGGGTGGCCATCAGGGTGCTGGCTGAGTGGCAGTGGGGGTCAGGGGCTGAGTGAGGGGCACCCCTAGGTCCCACTGGCTGGAAGGAAAGCTGCCTAGGCTCTGGGCCAAATAAATCATTGGGAAGGGAAGAAGAACATTTTCTCATCTGTTTAAAGAGCAACGAAGCATAGCAGCGGCCGGCCCGGCGGGAGGCAAGGCTGTGGCCACCGGGTGAGGCCGGGGGAGCTCTCTTCCACCGCCCACCACGGTCCCTGAGCCGCCCCTCTGCGCCTTCCCAGGCCACGCTGCATCCTGACCGGGACGTGGCTGGTCGTTATTGCTAACAACAGTATTAATTAATTGGTGATAAAATCATATTTAAAAGGTCCCTTTCGGGGGCAGGCCCTTGCTAACCCACGTCTTCTGTTCTACTGGGGCCCAGGCTGAAGCAATCAATGCCATTTCACAGAGGAAGAAATTGAGGCCCAGAAAGCTGAAGGGACTTTCTCAAGGTCACCCACCCTGGTGATGGGAGAACAGGATGGAGGGCCTGGCCTCTGGCTGCCCAAGATCGGGCTTACGGGCTGGGGTCCTTGTCCTCTGTCCTACGTGATGGGAGTGATGGGGGCGGGTGGCCCTTCACTTGGCCTAAGCCCTCAGGCCTCGGTGGCCTTTCCCCTGCCTGGTCTCTGTCCCAGGCTCCCTAGAGCCCCTCCTGGGGCTAAGACTTGTTCTTCCCGCCCCCACCTGGGTCTTTCAAAGTGATTTCTCTTCAACCGGCTCGATTTGAATATGGAAACGATTTGTAATTACTCCAAGTCCTGGGGCAGCTGGTATTAGCATTGGAGTGAGGCCGGAAGGGCAGGGGCTCCTGGGAAAGGCGGTGCGGAGCCCTGATGCGGGGAGGAATCTCCGGGAAAGCCTTCCCAAGCTCAGAACCCCCCCCCCACCTCCTCCGTCACAGCCTCTGAGAGGTCCAGCTCCCCCTCCCAGCTCACACCGCCCCCCCCCCCGGCCTTGCTGATATCCCCCTGTGCCCCAGGGAGCCCCCCGCGGGTCGGGTACCCTCTCTGTCAGTCTCTCAAGCTGTCTGACCACCTGTCTTCCCTAGGGCATACATTTTTGTGGCTGAATGAACCTCAGAGCCTACCGAGGAACAGAGAGAGACAAAAACGCTGCTGTCTCTCTGGAGCCAGCCCCTCCTGTCACCCCTTCACCCAGCTGGATCCTGAAGTGGGGAGGGGAAGGAAGAGGAGCCGGGCCTTGGAGATCCAGCTGCACCACATCTGCAAGAGACCTGCCTGGGTTTTTCTGGGCTCTGGGTCTCTAGGATGCTAATGATCATGAATATTCATAAAGAGGCAGCCAAGCTCCCTGGGGGAGAGGAAGGGGCTGCCGCTCTGGAGGACCTCCGTCCTGGAGGCTTGGAAGGGGCCGTCCCTGCATCCTGGCGGGCGACCCTGGCCCCAGCCACTTTCCCCACTCCTCAGCGCTCATCTCAGTCCTCGGGTCTCCCACCGCCCTGGGGGGTTCATCACACACTTTGCAGATGGCAGGGAACCGCTTGGCTCAGTGTCACAGTGGCAGCTGAACCTTCAGACCCTGAGATGTCAGGGTGTGTTTCAGGGTGCTCAGCGGGAGCCCAGGAGCCCCGCCCACTGATGCAAGGCACGCACGGAGGAGGGTGGCCCTGGCCTCCTTGGGTTCCTGCAGGGAGAGAGAAGGTGTCGCCCATCCCTCCTCCCTGCCTCCTACAGCCTCATAAATTCCCTTTAGGCGACGGGTGAGATTCTTTCATTGCCCCTTATTACCTCCTTCCATTAAAGTCGATAATCTCTCACAATCACTCACAACAAATGTCACCGCGATGGCCAGGGGGAGGGACGGGGGAGGGCACACGGGGGGTACTGCTCCTGGAGAGAGGTGGGCTCCTTTCCATCTGGCCCCCCGGCCTCTAGGACAACACAAAACGCCAGGGGCCTCACTGGGATTGGGTGGCCTGGGGATCTCCTTGCCGGAAGGTGTGGCCCCCTCTCGGCTGGAGCACCTAAAACCATTCCGCCCTCGTTGCAAAGCTGCCCCCTGCTGGCTCCTCCTCTGACCACAGGCATCGGATTAACCTACTTGTCTCGGCTGCAACAGTGTGTCCCCAGCCTGCCCACCTTGCTGATGGCAATGTGCCCAGGCACAAACTGCCCGGCCAGGGCCCTGAGCCATGGGCATCTCCCTGGGTACCACCTGCACCGTGGAGGCTCAGGCTCCACCCTGCCGTTCCTGGGCACAGTGCCAGGATGGGGAAGGGGTGGGTCTGTTACATCTCGGCTGCTTCTACACAAACAGATGCAACACGGGGGCGCCCCTGGCACAGGGAAAGGCACTAGTGGGAATAGAGAGGGACTCAGGAAACATGTAATATATGGCACACGTGTAGCATCCCCGTGCCTAGGGACATGCAACATTGCAGAGTTTACAGCAGAGAATGCAGCAAACGTGCCACACTGCAGTGTACATACGTGGCTCCTACGTACAAGTTACCCACAGCACTTAGCACACGTGTGGCACCTGTAGGCTTGGACACAGAGTGTCTCTAGGCACAGGAACAAGCAAACATGCGTTCAGGGCCAGAGCACATGTTAATAGTCTGGTACCCTATGTAGCCCTCTCACGCACGGGAGCCAGGCAACATTGCAGTGCACACGTAGGGCACCTGTATGCATATGCAAAGTTCAGCGCAACGAATGGCACCTGCATCCACAGCGACATGCAATATGCAAGGCACACGAGGGGGCGAGCGCTTCAGTCCCCAGGGCCCGGGAGACCCTAGCTGCGCGCGATGCCTCGGGCCTGGAGTACGGCTGGAGGGGCGTCGCGGATCGCCTCATCCTGCGGCCCAGGAGGCCGCGGCGGGCGGGGCGGGGGCTTACCCGGGGCTTCTCCCGCGCCGGCGCCTGGGGCCCAGAGCGGGGAGGGGAAGGGCGCGCTCGGCTCTGCTGGCGCTGCTCCCCCTTTAACAGGAGGCGGCGCGCGTCGCCCCCGCACCCAGACCCTTCTCTTACGGCTCCTCGCGCCCGGCCCTGGCGCGCGCCCCATCTCGTGGCCCGGCCCGCGCAAGGCGCAGCGATCCTGCCTCAGACGTCACTCTGCCCAGTGCTCGCGCTGCGAAGAAGTGGTCTGTAGTAGCACAGAGCGGACTAGAGGAACCCTTGTTCGAGCATCCGAGGGCTGCCGGCGGCAGCGCCTCGAATGGCCAAAGGAGGATGCGGCACCGGCTCGCGGATGGGGCTGCGGCCACCGCCCGGAATATAGGCGGCGCGCGGCGCGGGGCGGTGCTCGGGGGCGGGGGAGCGTGGGGGGCGGGCGCGGCTAGGAGGAGGCGCGGCGGCGGCGGCGGCGGCGGCGGCAGCGGCGGGCGGGAGCCCGCGCCCGGCCCGGCGCACCGCCCGCCCACCGCCCCCCGCGCTGCTCCGCGGCGTCTTTTCTTCTGCACCCTTCGCTCCGCGGATCGGGAGCCCCGGCCCTCCGCGCGGACTGCAGCGAGCTGCCCTGCGCCCGGCCCGGCCCCCGCCTTAGGATGGCAAACTTGCGCCCCGTGGCCGCCTCCGCCAGCGCCAGCCCCCGCTCCTGCTGCTGACGGCGCCCAGTGATGCTCGGCCCGAGACCCCGACCCAGCCATGCACCGAGTCCTCCTGGCGCGGTCCTGAGTTTCCGCCCGGCCGGGACTTCGGGGCGCTCTATCCCAGCTGGTCTCTGCTGAATTCTTCCCCGGCCCGAACTGAGTCCGTGTAGCGCTCACCCACCCAACCCCTTCTTTGGAACTCCCAAGCCTGGGGCCGAGGCACCTCGACTCTGGTGATTCTCCTCCCATCCCCCTCCCCGCGCCTGGACCGACCCCATCACCCTGCTATGAAAGCCTCCCTCCCACGGAATCCTGAACCCGGCTGTGCCTCCCCGTCGTCTCAAGTCTTCCAGTGCCTCGGCCTGGATCCGGGTGATGCGCCCCCCACCTTGAGGACAGCCTCTCCAACCTGCAGCTCGCCAGTGCCCCCTCTCCGGACCCCCACCTCTCCCAGTTTGGATGCCGGCCCCTGCCCCGCTCCTCTACTTGGGCTCTGCCGGAGTCCTCCCTTTTCCCTTTCTCCTCCAGCCGAGTTCCTGTCCACCCCCGCGCCTGTACCTCGACCATGCTCCCCCTTTATTTCTGTCCCGAGTGCCCCCCCATATCTGCCCAGAGTGCCGCCTTCCCCTCGCCAATCTCTGCTGCAAGACCCCTCCCCCAGCATAGAGCTGGGGCCGTGTCCCCCCCGTCTGCTCCAAGCCCCCTCCCCTCTAGCCGGAATCTCGACTGGTCCCACATCCCTGACTCCCGGGTCCATCTTTGGCCAGAGTCTATGTGTCCATCCCCCATCCCTCCACCCCCCCCCCCCCCGTATAGAGCCAGGCACCAGACGCACCCTCCCCGCAGCCTTGGGGGCCAGCATGATTTTGGGGCGTTGTAGGCTGTGAAGTTGGCGGCCACTCCCGCAGTCGGCTCGGTCAGAGGGCACAGACGTGGCCAGTGCAGAGCGGGCCACCGGTCTGTAGCCCGCTGGGGGGGAGGGGCGCCGGGCTGAGAGATGCCACCCGCCTGCCCGCCTCGCCAGCTGCCGGCCGGGCCCCTGGGCGTCCTCTGGCGCCCCCTGCCCGCAGTCCCGGACCCACCGCCCCTTCTCCCGCCAGCAACCCCGGTTTCCGCAGCCCAAGCGTTCGCGGTGGCTGCAGGACTGGCGCTGGGAAGTCCCTGGGGAGAGGAGATGGGTGGGTGAGGACCGGTGCCCAGACACTCCTGATGGCCAGGCCATATGCTCCGAGGGTGGGGGGAAGGGGGCTTATCCCAAGCAGCAAGTCAGGACTCCTTGGAGCCATCAGGCCCAGACCCCAGGTCCGTCCGGTTGGGCCCTTTGAGGCTTGGGCAGGTGTCCCCAGGGAGCCCCTGTCTGTCTGCTCCATGGCATTTCCCATAAGGGGGGTGGGGGTAAGTGTGGGCACTGTCTTGGGCATGGAGGAGGCTGTGGGGAAAACCACCCGACTCTGGGACAGAGCAGGCCCCAGGCAGTGACCCCTGCACTGCCACAGGGGAGGGGTTCACCGTGGACCCTGCCCAGGGCCTGTGCTGGTGCTGGTGGTTGGGAAGTGAGGGAGGGGCTTTCCTGGACGGAGGCTGTTGGAAGAGATCTTCCCCTCTTCCCTGTTCCCCTCCCCTGGTGCACTCCTCCCCCATTCCTCCTCAGAAAGGCAGGGTCTTGTCTGCTGTGTTTGCTCGTGGCATCACAAAAGGAGATCCCAGCTGGTCTCTGTCCCCTCCCTGCCACCCTCCCAGCTGGTCTCTGTCCCCTTCCCTCCCCGCCACCCTCCCAGGTAGTGCAGCGGAGTGAGTAGGAAGGAACTCCGCTTTGGGGCAGGTGAACTGGACCCAACAGCTGTGCCAGCCGGGCAAGCTCCTTAACCCTTCCGAGCCTCAGCAGACCCTCCGTGGATTGGATCAGAGGTCTTGGGAGAATGCGTATAGAATGTCCAGCACCTAGCGATGTTCAGACATGATGTGTGTTGGGCTGCTGCTCTTCAAGGCCAAGGTCAGGCCCCTCTCCACTCTTCATCCCAGAGTAGAAATGCAAATTGGGTTCTGATGTGTTCACTCCAGCCCTCAGGATCATAAAGGCAGGAAAATACCTTCAGCCCCTCAGGATGGGGCCAGGGAGCCAGTGACTTGCACCACCCCACTGGTCCTGTAGCATCCCACTGGACCTCTGTGGGACCAGCTCTGGCCAGGTGGTTCATCTGTGAACTGTGGGCCAAGGTCCCAGGTCCTGGTTCAAGTGTAGAGGCTGGGGAGGTGGGATCAGCCCAGAGAAGAAACGCAAGACAGGTCCCCTCAAAGGTAGGCTGCTCCTTAGGGGATTCTGGGGGTGGCGGAAATTCTTCACTGAGACACAGAGGGGCCCCCGACTGACCCACGGCAGCAGGACTTTCGTAGGGCAGTTCTTGCCCCAGGGCAGTTAGGGGCAGCTGTGCCCCAGGGCCACCGGAGTTCCAAGGAGCCTGGATCTGGGAGCCGCTGGTGAAGGGGAGGGAGGGGGCTCGAACCCGCGACGTTCTGCTCAGCTGGAAGAGTTCTGGGCAGTGTGGCCGGACCTGGGTCCCCCCGTGGAGTGGCAGCCTCCCAGCCACCCGCCTGCCTGGACAGCACTGACATTGGCGAACAAAAGCTTTCGGTTCCTGTAGCAACGGCGGCTCCAGCTGCTGCAAAGTTCCGGGGAGGCGGGCAGAGGGCGGCTGAGTCACCGCCCCCTCCCCTGTGGCCCGCTCGGCTCCGCCCCCAGGGGCAGGGGGCCGCCCCTCGGTCCCCTCTGGCTTCTGCCCGCCTTCTCCTCCTGGTGGCGTGCAAGAGGCCCCCAGAGCTCCCCGTCTGGCTGCAGGGAGGGGGTCGCCCCCTACCCGTGGCCTCGCCCACTAGCACCAACCCCCGCCCCCCCACCCCCCCAGGTACGATGGAGGGGTGTGCGCCCTCTTGGCTGCGTGGGTTCCGGGAAGAGGGATCCCTGAGAGCCTGCACCTCGATCGGTGCCTGGCCAGGGAATCCGGAGGCCGCACGTGGGGGTCCCCGTCTGCGTGGCGGCCTGAGCTCGGGCCGGCAGCAAGCACCCGGGAGGCGCAGGGTGAGTGACGGGCCGGCGAATTGGAGCTGCCAGGTGGATAAACGCGACGGATGTGCGCGTCGCCGCGCCCCCTCCCCCACCCGCCCGCCCCTCCCCCGCCCGCGGCCGGGGCTCCCGGCTCCCCGCCGCCGCCGGCGTCCCTGTTCGCCGCTGGCCTGGCCGACGGGACCCAATCCCGGGGATTCTGAAGACCCGGCCGTGGCCCTGAGGTGCCCCACGCGACATTCCCCACCTCCTGCCTCTTGCCCAATCCTGTCTGGATCCTCGCTGGGAAAGCCTTGGAGTTCTTTATTCTGAGCCAGATGGTGAGCGGGGAGGCTGACCATTCCTGTGGAGGTCGGAGAAAGGAGTCCTGAGCCTGCTTGAGCCGAGTGGGGTCCTTGGGTTGCCGGGGTGGGGAGGCGTGGGCACGTGTTGAAAGGGGCCCTGAGCGGGCCAGCTCCTCAGCCATAGCAGCACAGACAGGCCCTGGGGAGGAGGCCTGGGGGCTCCTCTCCATCAGCCTCCTGTGATCCGGGATTCTTCCTCCAAGCTGACTTCCAGCTCTCGCCTCCCTAGCTTTTGTGTGCCGGGAGGCTGTGGGCTTCACCTGGCTGGAAGTGGCAAAGGCCCTGTTCCAGGTCCAACCCAAAGCCACTTTCCCAAGGACCCCAGCAGGCCGGAGGGGAGGCTTGTGAGGAGGCAGAGAGGGCTGGGGGGACTCCCTGGAGCTTACCCTGGGCCAGGCTCTGGGCTGGGAGCTTGTGCCCAGGCTGAATGAGGTGAAAAGCAGCGCCGAGGGCGGGGTCGTGGTCTCCCATTTCTCAGAGAGGGAGACTGAGGCTCGGAAAGGCTCGTCATGGCTGATAACCACTTGCGCTACCCACGAGGGGCTCCGGGTGTTTCCCCAGGAGGACGGGCCCTGGCCACACACTCCCAGGAGGTTCTTGCATGAATCCAGGCCCCTTTCAGACTCCGTGTGGGTCTTTATCTTGAGGGTTGGGAAGTGACGTGAAAGTGTCTCCTAAAAGGTCCTGGATTCTGGCAGGACAGTGAGGGTCATCCCTCCTCAGGGGAGGCCCCAGGGTGCCTGGAAGGACGCTGGGCTTGGCTCTGTTCTGGAGGAGCTGGTCTGAGGCTCTGAGCCATGGGTATTGGTGGCTTGGGGAGGGAGCTGTGTGGAGGAGGGAGCAGCAGAGACCCAGGTAGTAGTATCATGTGCTGAGCCTCAGAGGGCCCGACACACCTGTGTGTTCACACTCAGGAATGTGTGTGTGCAGCCGTCTGACTACACCTGGGCACACGTGACTGCACACACCTGAGTGCATGTGAGGTCATGCGCCAGTGGTTTGCACCCATTTTTGTGCACATCTGTGTGCATATGTGGGACGCGTGTGAATGTCTTTCTGCACATGTCTGCTTTTGTGTGTGTGTCTTTGGGGCACAGGCCTATGTAGGTTGGGGTGTGTGTATAGGGACAGTTCCCTGCTCTAAGGGGGGAGGGGAGGCCAGTTATAATGAGCCCCCCTCCCCTCCACAGCGCCGCAGCCATGGCCTGAATTTTGCAGCCTGCTTAAAAATAATTGGGGGCAGCGGGGGGATTGGATGTCAGTCATCATCAGCCGCTGGCTTCGCTGGTGCTGCGGCAGGCTGGGCAGGCTGAACAGTTTGGGCCAGGCATGATATGGGGTGAGGAGGGCCAGGGATCCTGTCCCTTTTTCACCTCTGAGGAGGGGGCTCAGGGGATGCACAACACAGCCTGCTCTGGCTCCTGCTGAATAATTGCAAGTCTTTGGAGGAGGGTGGGGCCACTGAATGGTGACTGGGCCTGCCTGGAGCTTTACCTGTCTCATCATCATCTGCTCACCGCATGGGTGGCTGGGGAGGTCCAGGGACTCGCCTGCACCTGGGGCTTGGGCCTGGCTCCCCGGTGCAGCGTGTGGGAATGTGGGCTTGGGGGCTGGGGAGCTCTGTGGGTGCCGCGCAGGAGTTGGGATGCTGGGGTTCCCATTCCTCTCCTCCCTCCTCTCACTGTTTAGACTCCTGAACAGCCAAGGGGAAATCTGTCCCCCGGGAGCAGCTGTGTCTTGGGAGAATCTAGCCACACCTGTGAATTCTCCTGTGTTTGTGATTCCGCTCCCAGAACTAGTAGCTTGCCCATCTGGCCTGCATCTTGAGTGATTAGCACAGGGAGGGAGCAGGAGGCTCTGGATGGAGGAGAGAGAAGCCCTGACCTGGTGGGCGAGGGGGCACTCAGGCTGGGTCCCTCTCCTGTGATCTTGAGCCGGTCTTTGAGCAGCTAGGAGTGCTGCGAGCTGTGCCTCCGGGGGACAACGAGGCTGTGTGGGTCCCTTCAAGCGCGGGGCCGTGGGCCAGACTCTGTTTTCTGGGTGGGTGGAGTGGAGGTGGGGTGCTGTGGGCAGTGGCTCTGCCCTGACCTGATGGTGGGAGAGCACCTGCAGCTTTGCCCTCCCCGCCCCCTGCACTTGCCCCTGGGTGCCCTCCCCACCCACTGCGCTTGCCCCTGGGTGCCCTCCCACACCTGGAGGGAAGGCAGAAGTCACCCTTAGGAGCCGGAAGACACCCTGGTGAGGCGAGCCCTGGGGAAAGGGTCGAGGTCACAGCAGGCTGGTGGCTTTCCCTGGAGTGGTGGGCCCTGAGCCAGGCCTCCGAGCGTAATGCCATGGAGGGGAAGAGGGGAATTATTGTGCCCGTTTTGCAGGGGGGGAAGTTGGCAGCTCGTTGCACTGGGGCTCAAGTCCAGCGCCTCTCCCTCTTGTTCCAGCTGGGAGCAGCCATGATAAATATGACATTGACACTGGCAGTGCTCTGCTGTGGGCAGGCTCAGGGTGTGCTCTGTCTCTGGCACACAGGCTGTGACTCCACCCCTTTCTCGCCCACCCGGTGAAGTGAGCGAGCACGACATTGTTCTGGGAATAACCTTGAATTGCTCTGATGTATAAAAACGCCGATCACTGTCGTCGGACATCACGGCTTTGACAGTCACCAGTGGATTCCGCGTGCCCCGCCCCGCGGCTGATCACGACACCCTGGGGCGGGAGCAGCGCTTGTGGCGAATGAGGCTGGATCTGAGTGTGAGGCTGTGGTGACACTGAAGGTTCCTGTGGGCCTCGCAGGTGCCGGGTACCCTCCTGAGCCCACTCCCTCGCCTAAGCTCATGCCACCCTCCCAGGCCACCTGCCAGTGAGGTACTGTCGCGGCTCCATTTTATGGAGCAACAGACTGAGGCCCGGAGCGGTCGAGTCCCTTGTCTGCGATCTCACAGGTGGACAGAAAAGAGCGTGCTCTTAGCCCTGAGGCCCACTCCCTGCAGCTGGCAGCAGGAGGTTCCCACTGCCCAGGCTGGCTGTGACCCCTGTCTCTCTCCACAGGGCAAGGGACATAGGATGACCCCAGCCTGTCCCCTCTTACTGTCTGTGATTCTGTCCCTGCGCCTGGCCGCCGCCTTCGACCCTGCCCCCAGTGCCTGCTCCGCCCTGGCCTCGGGTGTGCTCTACGGGGCCTTCTCGCTGCAGGACCTCTTTCCCACCATCGCCTCGGGCTGCTCCTGGACCCTGGAGAACCCTGACCCCACCAAGTACTCCCTCTACCTGCGCTTCAACCGCCAGGAGCAGGTGTGCACCCACTTCGCCCCCCGCCTGCTGCCGCTGGACCACTACCTGGTCAACTTCACCTGCCTGCGGCCCAGCTCCGAGCAGGTGGGGGCCCAGGAGGGGCCGGAGGCAGTGGCAGCGGCTGAGGAGGCGGCGGCAGCCGAGGAGGCAGCGGCTGCGGGGTTGGAACTGTGCGGCGGCTCGGGCCCCTTTACCTTCCTGCACTTCGACAAGAACTTCGTGCAGCTGTGCCTGTCGGCCGAGCCCTCCGAGGCCCCGCGCCTGCTGGCACCCGCCGCCCTGGCCTTCCGCTTCGTGGAGGTGTTGCTCATCAACAACAACAACTCCAGCCAGTTCACCTGCGGCGTGCTCTGCCGCTGGAGCGAGGAGTGTGGCCGCGCGGCCGGCCGGGCCTGCGGCTTTGCCCAGCCAGGCTGCAGCTGCCCTGGGGAGGCAGGGGCCGGCTCCACCACCACCACCACCACCGCTACCGCCACCACGCCTCCGGGTCCTCCTGCTGCCCACACCCTGTCCAATGCCCTGGTGCCCGGGGGCCCAGCCCCGCCTGCTGAAGCCGATTTGCACTCGGGGAGCAGCAATGACCTGTTCACCACCGAGATGAGATACGGTGAGTCTGAGAGGGGCTCAGGTGGGCCCCGGGGCTGGGAGTGGGGAGGTGTGTTTGCTGGCGGCCATCCTGGCAGATCCGGGCCGTCCCTGCAGTCCTTTGGCGATGTCACCTCTCCGCTCAGCCTTACCCAGACGTAGGGGTCACTGAGCTGCACTGGGGTGAGACCTCACTCTCGGAGGCTTTGCAGTCTTTGGGGGTGGGTGGGGGACGCAGGTGAGGCCATGCAGAATGATGTGCAAACCCAGGGAGGGAACCCCCTAACTGGGCAGCTGTGGGAGCAGAGGTTTGTTGGACAGGCGGAAGTGAGAGAGCCAAAGGAGCGGGCGGGGAGGGCCCGAAGCGGGGAGTGACCGTGGCAGGGCCTGGCACTGCGAGCTGACAAGTTTGCCTGGAGGCTGGAGGAGGCAGCGAGCGGGGATGTGTTCCTGCCCACATGGGTCAGGGATTCTGGCAGCAGCCCCAGGGTCAGAGGGAGGCGAGGAAGAGCGTGCCTGAGCTCCCAGGCTGCCTCGGAGGCCTGGGCTGGCTCAGCTCCCAGCGTCCCCCGTCTCCCCGCTCTGGGCCTGTGTCTTCTGGGGCCGAGTCCGCCAGCTGCTGGAGCTTCCTGCTGACTGGGCAAAAGCTCCACGAGCCCTCGAGTCCTGCCCGCTCCCACCCCCACCCCAGCCCCCTCGGCCACGGCTGCCATCCACCGACCCTGCTTCCTGCGGCTTGAAGGCCCCAAGCCCTGGGCTGGGTCCCGCGTGCCTGCTGAATGCACTGGGCCACCGGCAGGCAGCAGGGCCGCAGACATGGTGGTGGGAGGGAGGCAGGTCTGGGGTCCGGTGCCCGGTGCCCGGCTCGGGTCTGGACAGCGAGGAGGCCCTTCCCCTCTCTCTGGGCCTCCATTTTCCCTTGTGGGACACCGGGAACTAGCTGATCTCACTGAGTGTGTTCCAAGCTGGCAGGGGCAGGTACCAGGGTGGCCGGGAGTGTCAGAGGGTGTGGTCTGTCCCCAGCCCTTCTCTGGAGGCCGCAGCCCTGGGCTTTGGCGCTGTCTTTGCTACTCAAGTGGATCTTTTTATTTATTTATTTATTTATTTATTTATTTATTATTTATCGGGAAGGGTCAGTTTCTCGGTAACGTGGGGAGCTGTCTGAGCTAATTGGAGGTGACAGGTGCCATGGACAGTCCCTCTTCCAGGGCTCTGGAGGGGGACCTCCTTGGCCTCCCCTGTGAGACACCTGGCATGGTGCCCATGTACAGCAAGTGCCCAGTGGCCTTGCCGTGGCCTCTCTCCCAGGCCAGCTTGGCCTCCACCAGGTCGATGAAGCTGTCGGAGTGACAGCCAGGCCGTGGGCAGGTTACGGGCCCTGGAGGCTGGCCTGGGATTTAGTGCCTGCAGGAAGAAATTGAATTTCGCTTCTTTGTCGAACATCGGCGGAGAGTGCCGGGCGTATATCAGGAGGTTTATGGTTCTTCCTGCCTGGCCGCCGCTGCCTGTCACTCGGCGGGGGCCTCCCCCATCCTGCTCAGCTGAGGGCAGATTCTTTTGTCTGGCTTTCCCTGAGGTCTGTGGGCCCAGTGGTCTGCAGTGGACGCAGCAAGGCTCTGCCCTCACGGGCGGGCACCATCTGGGCAGGCTGCCACGTGGAGCATGGAGCCAGCAGCGGCCAGCTGGGCTTGGGGGAAGCCGGAAGCAAGACTTGGTTGATAGCCGCTGGGGTGTCTTTGAGGGTCACAGCGGGCTGGCGACAGGAAGGGCACCATCATCAGAACCTCTGCAGGGCCTCTGGGACCCGAGGTGGGGGATTGGGTGCCAGGTCTTTCCCGGGCAGTAGGCCTGGTGTCACCTCTGAGCTGGAGCTCCCAGCTGGCCCCAGTCTGACCTCTGCTCTTCTCCTGTGCTCCTTGGCACGTGGCTGTGCACTGGCTCTTCAGGGAGGGCCCCCGGGGGGCTGGCACGCGGCGATGTGGCATCCACTGTCATACATGGGCTCACGTGGTGTTCACTGGTGCCCAGAGCTGTGCTGGCACAGCCCCTTCCTCTACCCTGGCAGGCGGCAGAGGCTCTTCCGCTCTGCCACCTCCCCCCTCCCGCCCAGCTCTGCTGGTGCGAGAGGCGGCATGCGCACGACCACGTGCAGGCGGGTCTGAGGGTCCGTGGTGTTGTCGGGGCCTGGAGTACTCTGTGCGCTGACACCTTCCCCAAACCCTGGGCACGCTGTCCGTGCCTCCCCTTTCTCCTCCCCCATGGGGCTGCAGCGGAGTGGGCTGCCCTCCAGACTTCCAGGTCGAGTGAGAGCGTGAGGGTGGTGGTGAGTGGGCAGTGTGAGACCCCCGTGCGGCCCCTCAGCCAGGCGCCGGGGCAGGGCAGCGGCCTTCACCCGCTCCAGGGCACCTCCAAGGAGGACCAACAGTGAGGCCCAGCAGGGCGGCCTTGGGGTGGTACCGGAAGAGCAAAGAGGCCGGGGGCTGGTGGGCAGTGGCTGAGCGGGGCACCTGGGCCTGCCTCAGAGCCGAGTGCTCTTGACAAGAGGGTACAGGCGCCTGTTAATTTCACGCAAACTGCCTTTGATAGATCTCTTGTTATTTTTGGTGAGTTGAGCCATAAATTTGTGCCATCTTGCTGCCGCAATCTGTTAAGTGGGGGCAGAGGAAGAAGGAAGGGGAGGCAGGCAGGAAGGCGCTCGGCGGAGGGCGGGCACGGAGGCCGGCGGAGGCAATGCCAGCTCCCGAGGCTGCCTGCCAGCCCGCCGGGCGTCCCGCTCAGTGACCCTGCAGTTCCGAGGGCCGAGGCACTGGCCGTGGCTGTGCCGAGAGACACTCGGGAGAAAGGGGCCCCTCGTCAGTGCTCCCGTTCCCTGCTGCACTCCCTACCTCAACACAGGTGCACCGTCCCACACATGGGCCGGATGCTGCCCGCTCACCTTCCCCGTCATCCAGGCTCCGTTCTTGTGGTGTAGACATCAGGTGAGCCTGGGGTCGGTTCCTGGGAGACAGCCGGGTCGTTCCCCCTCTCTGCCACTGCTGCTGCGGGACTTGGACAAGGTGCTGCCCCGCCTGGGGCCTTGGGACTCCCAGGCCCCAGCGACTCCCCAGCGCTGCCCGAACTCCTCAGCCCGGCGTTCAAGCGCCTCCGCCCTGGTCCTTGCAGCTGGGTGTTCTCTGCTTTCGCTCCCGGCCGGCTCCTCACCGTCCCTGGGCTGTTCCGCGCCTCCACGGCCCTTTGCCTTTGTGTAGCCTGCCTGTCAGGTGGGGCTCACAGCGAGAGGCCGCCTGTGGAGGAAGGCCTAGTCCACCATTTTCAGGAAGGGCCTCGCAGTCTGGGTCTGTGTGGCTGGAGCCCCGGGGCATGGGGTGCAGACTCCTGCAGAGTCTCAGCAGGGACCCAGCTCCAACCACCGCGTTGCGCACGTCTTCGTGTCTTGGTCGGAGTGGAGTTTGCACTGGGCCCCCGGTCGGTGCTGAGTGTGTGAGGTGGGAGGCGTATGCTTTGGTGCCCCTCGGCGGGACAGAGTGGTCACCAGTGCTTAGTGGTCAAGGTCATTGCCTGGAGTCACCCGGACCCCACTGCTGTGTGACTGTCGACAACTTGCCTCACCCCACCCCCACCCCCACCGACTGTAAAATGCGCAGAGCAGAGCAGTGGCGGGTTAAGCAAAAGGCCGGGGGTAGGCACCCGGCACAGCACCCGGCCCACAGGTGGTCCGTAGGAAAGAGTCGCCGGGCACCGGGGTTTCGTGCACCAGGAACCTCTGCGCATGTGCCCCGTGGCAAGGAGGAAGAGAGCAGGGCACAAACCCGCAGGGGGCTGGGGGAGGCCGTCTCCAGGAACTGATTCTGAGTTGGGTTTTGAGGAGTGAATAGGAATTCACTGGCCTGTGAAATTTCTCTTTAAATTGAATCACTTCTAATGTTGAATATATTGAAAAGAGATTTTGTGCCGTGGACAGAAAGGCTATCACTTATCTGGAGTAGAAGATACGTAAAGAAACAACACACACAGGGAAAACAACACGGCGTTATTTAAGGGCAGCAGGCCGCTCTTAGCGCCTCCGTGTGTGTTAGGGGAATTAGCATGTGCGGGGACCTCGTCCCTCTCGCGGTTAAAAAGGCTGGAAATAAGGTGACCGTGTAACTTATCCAATCTGGGACGCTTCTCAGGTTATGAAGGGCAGGAGGTAGGTGCTGTTCATTATGGAGGGCCAGGGCAGGCAAATTGGCACGTGGTCACCGTGCTTCGGGTAGACCAGGGAGGGAACCTCTGTGAGCCACCTGAGGCCACTCCTCCCTGAGGGGACGCCCGTGAGCTAGAGGGAGGCAGCGGTGCAAGGGCATTGGAGGCGTGGAACCTGCCAGGCAGGGGCTGGACCGAGAGGGAGGAGCCGGCCGGTAGCCCCAGCCGAGGGACGCAGGACTGGGGCTTGCCTGCAGGCCACTGGGGCCGTCTCCTGCTGGCCCGGGCCTCTAGGACCGCAAGAAACTGAGTGTCGTGGAGGGGACAGGCTGAGTCAGATCTGGCCACATGGTGGGAGGTGGCAGGCACCCACCCAGCTAGCTCTCAAGGGAGGCCGGGCAGGTGTGTCAGCCTCTGGGGGCTGGCCTCCCCAGTGGCCCTGGGCTGCCAGGATGGACAGAGCCTGGGATTTTCAGAAACCACGGCCCTCTCCCGCTGTGGGGTACATGGTGGGGTGTAGGAAGCGGTGCGGGGGGTGGGGAGCCGTGGGGGGATGTGACCGAGCTGTGCTTTGAGGGGGGTCAGTGGGTGTCTGCCATGGCTGGGGGCAGGAGCAGAGGGCCCTGGGAAGGAGGACTGCTCTGGGCGCCGCAGCGCCGTCTCCCCGTGCGGGCGCTGGCCTTGCTGGCTGTGACTGCTGCAGTTAGGACGAGGAGTTTGGGGGGCAGCTCTGGAGCACAGCACAGGGGTGTCTGCAGTCCTCAAGAGACAGAGAACCTGCGCCCACCCGTCTGCCAGCACCAGGGCTGAGACAAAGTAGCCCCTGTGCAGTTGAGGCAAGGGAACCCCCAGGAATGTCTGGTCCATGCTTGCTGAATGCCCACAGTCAGGGCCCCGTATGCCAGAGGGGTGTGGGAGATGAGACCCTTCCTCAGGGCCCCAAGGAGGGATGAGCCTAGGATATTCACAGCTGATGGCAGCCTGAGGACTGGGTCACAGACAAGGGGGCTGGCATAGCCAAACCCCTGGTGGTCAGCCTAGGGAGGCTTCCTGGAGGAGGTGGCATTTGTCAGAGAGAAGATTTTGGCAGATTGAGATGGAGGGAAGGATATTCCAAAGGGAGGGAACAGAGGGAGGAAAGGATTTGCATATTCCAGGGGAAACCAGAAGGGTCGGCATCTTTTCACTGAGAGCTTTTTGTGCTCTGTGTTGCCCACATCTCTTGCTTCATTTGAAAAAAAATATTCTATCTGAATGGCAGAGTTATAAAGAAAGAGGGAGAAACACACACACACACACACACACACACACACAGGTCTTCCATCTGCTGGCTCACTCCCCAGATGGCCGCAACAGCCAGGGCTGGGCTGATCCGAAGCCAGCAGCCAGGAGCTCCATCCGGGTCTCCCACATGGGTGGCAGGGACCCAAGCACTTGGGCCACCTTCTGCTTCCCCAGGCGCACGGGCAGGGAGCTGGATGGGAAGTGGAGCAGCGTGCGTGTGAGGTGTTGGCACTGCAGGCAGAGGCCCGCCCCGCTGGGCCACAGTGCCTCCTGTTTCATTTAATTCTCACAGAGAGCCTGTGTGGTAGGAAGTGTCATTGCTGCCTCCAGGTGAAGAATCTGGAGCTCAGAGAGGTGAGGTGACTCGCTCAGGGGCACACAGCAACATGGAGGCAGAACCAGGCACCAGGTCCGCCTCAGCCAGGCTCCAGAACCTGGCCCTTTCTTTTGGCCCAGCGTGCCAGGCCGCCTGGCGGGGAGAGGAATGCAGGGCCGGCCACGCAGGCAGGGGCTCAGCAGTGGGGACCCACCGAGGGCTAGGCAGCGGGAGGTCCCAGAGGACCGCCTTGGAGGCTGCAGAGCAGGGAACAGCTGTGCTGAGGACCCACAGGCGAGGACGGGGGCCCCTGGTGGAGTGGGGGAGAGACTCGGGGCCTGAGGGGGTCAGGGAAGGCACCGCCAAGGTTCAGTGGAAAGAACATGGCCTCTGGAGGCAGGCAGGCCTGGGTTCGAATCCCGCCGCACCTGCCTCCATTAGGGAAGCACCGGGTCCCCTTGAGGGGGTGATGATGTGCACAGTGAAGGTGTTAGCGTGTTCAAGCCAGAACACTCCTCAGGTCACCAGCTGGTGCAGCGGGGCGTGTGCACGGGGCAGCTGTGGTGCAGCGGGCAGCCAGACGGGGAAGCTGACAGTCACAGGACCAAGCCTCCGAGCCCTGGGCCGGTGATGGGCCGATGCTCACACCCGTCCTGGGCCCTGCCTGGCTGGGGCTACCCCTGTGTGCTGCACGCATGTCCCCCTGGGGGAACAAATGGCCGGCCTGTCTGTGTCGGGGTGGTGCAGGGGGAGCAGTCAGCGCAGGGCCCTGCTGTGCGGCCTCGGGCTTGTGCCTTGACCTCTCTCGCTTGGCCCTTGACCTCTCTTGCTTGGCCCCAGAGGCTGGGATGTGGACCCAAAAGCCGGGCCTGGGCCAGGTTCTGATTGTTCAAACAGGCTGGTTATGCGGTGGCAGTGGTCGGTGAGTGGTTAGGAGAGGACACAGGACCCCAGGAAGCCTGCGGGGCTGGCGTCTCGCACGGCCCTGCCTGGCGGGCCTCCTGGATGCCAGGCTGTGTGTGGAGGGCTCCCCAGACACGGCGGTGGACACAGGCGCGGGAAGAGAAGATGCCACTGGAGTTGCAGTAGGCTGCAAAGCCTTTGTTAGTGACCGGGTGTCAGGCTTGAGGCCACCTAGGTGGGCGCCCGGGAACCCCGCCTCTCCGCCTGCCTTAGCCGTGCCTTCGGGCCAGGGCTGCCACGTTACATCTGTGAGGCTGCCGCTGCCAGGCCGAGCTGACGACCCTGCCCAGAGACCCCCGCCCCCGCCATGCTGGGGGATTCCAGGAGCAGTGTGTTCTTGGGAGTACATTTACTGATGTTTGTCTGGGCCGGATTCTGTGCGTTCGCTGGGGCTGGGGAGATGACGCATGGATAGCCTTCCCGCAGAGGGCTCAGGGTGGGGAGAGGGGGGGCTTCAGATAGAAGACAGGACCATCTGTGATGAAAGATGTGCAGAAGAGAGGGCTGCCCGCTCTTCCTGGGGAGTGTGCCATGGACCTACAGGGGGCCTCCCAGATGAGAGGTCATCGAGGTGGGTCTTGAAGGTTGAATAGGAGTTTTCCAGGCTAAGAAGGTAGCAGAGAAGCAGGCAGATGTTTGGAGGAGATGATGATCCTATTGGGCATTGAATTTGAGGGTTGGGAGAGGGGTTTCAGGGGGCAGCAAGGTCTATGGGCTTACAGCACAGGAGAGGCAGGGGCTGGGCATCCTGACTCGGGGCGTCCCTTAAGCCTGGGGGGTACATGTGAAGTGAGAACAGGGCAAGGTGTGGGTGCCTGCTGTGGGAAGCCACAGGAACACCTGCCAGTTAGGGAAAGCGAGGCAGAGAGGCCAGAGAGCCGGAGGGGGCAGGGCAGCCGGGATATTTCAAGGCAGGAAGCACCAGCAGGGCCAGATGCAGCCGCGGGGTCAGGCGGGATGCACCTGCCAAGCGGCCGCGGGAGGTAGCGCCAAGGAGGGCGCTGATGACTCTGTCAAGAACACTTTCAGCAGAGAGATGTGGGCAGCAGCCAGACTGCGGCGCCTAACGGGGAGGAGCTGGGGAGCCCAGAAGTGAGTGGCAGGTGAGAACTCAGAGCACCCGCCGTGGGCTGCTCCGGGAAGGTGGCGGGAGCAGAGGGCCAGGGGCAACTCCCCCGGGATGGAGGGGGCCTGGGGCTGATCAGGGCTGAAGGTGGAGGAGGGGTGCGGGACCAGGCCAGGGACTGGCTTCATGGGCAACTGGGGGCTGTGAAGAGGGTGCGAGTGGCAGAGGGAGGCAAGCACTGGGCCCCCGCTGCATAGCTTCTGAGTGGACGGAGCCCAGAAGGCCACGGACACGCCCTGCGTGCCCAGCCGAGGTTGGGCTTGAGTCTGTCCCGGTGCCAGCTGGCCCAGCTGTGGGTTCTTCAGCAGCCTGGGCGCTTGTCCCCAGGCCCCCAGCTAGGGACACTGAGCAGATGAGAGGTTTAGGGGGTTGCCAGGCGTGGCACTGTCACCTCAGGTCCAGGGTGAAGCTGGGAGGGAGGGGACTGCAGATGCTGCTCAAAGGAGGAGGCGCGGGGCCAAAGGTGGCCCGGGACAGGAGGGGGCGCTGCCTGCTCGCCTCACACGGCTAGGTACGGTAGCTGAGGCGGAGGGCGAAGGCCCCCAGTTGATGAGTTGGACTGGGTGGCAGTTCTGAGCTCCAGAGAGCTGGTTTGCTCCGGATGGCCACTCTCCAAGCCTGGCCAGGACTCCCTCGGCTGCAGAGCCTGGACTGGACTGGGTGGCCGGGTACGGGATGGGGGGAGTGGGTCCGCCTTCTGAGGTCCTTTCAAACGCCCGGTGCCTGTTCCCTGATGACCTGGCACTCAGAGAGGGCCAGTGTTGGGGTGAGGAACAGCTTTTCATCCAGGGACATCATGGGCTGAGCTCCACCCCCGGAGGCTGTTCTGGTCCTGTCTGCTGCTCAGCAGCCTGTCTGGGGGCTGGGGCGCCCCGCTCTGCACTGAGGTCTGTGCCCACGGGAAGGGGCCTGCAGGGGGACAGGCGATCTCGCCAAGGCTCAGGCCAGACACAGCGATCCGGGCGGCTGAGAGCCCCCTGGGGCCCCTGCTGCTGTCCAGGGAGTAGGCACCTGCCCCAGGCCCTTTGGGGCTATGCTTTGGGGAGCAGAAAGTCCAGCAGGAGTTGAGTCCCAGGGTAGCCTTGGGATGGGGTGTGGGGTCGCAGCGGCCCCGTGTGGCTGTTTCATCTGCCCCTCGAGACGGTCCTGGGAGAGGAAGAAGCTGGGCTTCAGGCTCACTGGCATGTGCCCACGGACAAGCCACTTCCTTTCTGCTCTCGGCCCCCGTCTCTCAGCGAGGGGATTTAGGAATGGGCAGGCCTTCCCAGGGCTCGTTTCTGCGAGCAGCCACGCCCCTTCGACCTGCCCCCTCTTTAGCTGAGGCAAGAGGCAGACAAGATGGTTGCGAGGCTGTGGGTGGGTGCTGTGCGGCCTTCTGAGCCTCAGTTTCCTAATCTGTGAAATGGGGGTGGTAGGGCAGGGGCAGGACGTGATGCTCTCTCAGCATCGCCCACAGTCGGTTCCAGGCCCTCGAGCTGAGGGCAAGCAAGGCTGCCCACTCTGTACCACTGCGGCAGGACCGAACTGGCCTCTGCTGAGCCCCTGCCACCACCTCCGTGTTCCAGGTGAGGAGCCGGAAGAGGAACCGAAGGTGAAAACCCAGTGGCCAAGGTCTGCAGATGAGCCTGGGCTATACATGGCGCAGACAGGTAACTCGGGCCCGCCTCCCTTCCTGCGTGGCGGGGCCCGACTGTGTGGTGTCTGCTGGCATGTGTGCTTAGCGTGTGCCCGTCTCTGTCTGTGTCCTGGAGCTCAGCCGTGTCTCTGTGTCACGTGAGGCCTTGCCACCTGGGGTCAGGGTAGGAGGGGCCCCCTGGTGCCACCCCACCCCCGTGAGACTGAGTGCCTGGGAGGTGCCCCCTGCCGCCGACGCTGTCCCTCTCTCCTAGGCGACCCGGCGGCTGAGGAGTGGTCCCCGTGGAGCGTGTGTTCCCTGACGTGTGGGCAGGGTCTGCAGGTGCGGACCCGCTCCTGCGTGTCCTCCCCCTATGGGACCCTGTGCAGCGGGCCCCTGCGGGAGACCCGGCCCTGCAACAATTCCGCCACCTGCCCAGGTACGCCCGTCCTCCCCACCCCGCCTGCCTGCAGGGTTAGGTCCCGCCTGGGACTCGGGCACATGAAGCTCCCAGAGTGCTTTCAGTCAATAAGCTTGACTGCCCCCACCCCTGCCACCATGCCAGCCCTGCGCAGGGTACAGGGGACACAGATGAACAAGACGCAGGGCCCGCCCCGCGGGGCACCTCACTCCGCTGATGCCCACATCAGCCTTTTACCCTCGTCGCTGTCCACATGCCCAGTGCTCTGGCTGCCCCAGCCCTCTCGCACTGCTCCACCTGCCTGCAGTTGCTTATTCTCTCCCTCCCCGCCTTGGCTATTAAAATTCAGCCTGCCCTCCGAGATCCAAGACCAGTGCCGATTCCTTTATGTTTTTCAAGCGAAATCTTCCCTGACCATCCCCTCCCTGGCCTGGGCTCCCCTCCCTCCCCTGGGGACCTCCCCCAGACCCTCCAGCCTCTCTGTTACGCCTGTAGTTGCTGAGGGAATGCATGTGTCTGCATGGGACAGGTGGTGACTGGAGGAGGGGCAGGCAGCTGCAGCGGGTGCTGTTCCTCCTCCCCTGAGGACAAGGCAGCTCCCGTCTGTCTGTGGGGTTAGAGCAGGGCCTACCTGGGGAGGGCTCTTGGTACCTGGGGGTGTGGCAGGAGCTGGCAGGGGGCGGCTGGGGGCTACGCTGGGCTCCAGGGTGTGAGCTCCTTGGTTGTGTCAGTGTCCACGTAGAGGTGTCTCTTTGTGTGTCCATGCGCTTGGGGCTGGGAGGGGCACTGCTTGCCCCAGGCCTGCCATGTTGGATTCAGGGATTGGGGGTGGGGGAGTGTGGGGAGGGGTGGCCTGGGATGGCTCTTGGGTCCTTCCTTGGGTTTTCCTTCACCCCCAGGAGGGGAGGACCTCTGGTTCCCCTCTTGGGTGGCTCCTGGTCTCCCTGTCCTGGTGTGCACAGGGGCTGCCCTGTGTGAATTGGGACTGAAAGCCTGTGCCTTCCACAGCTCCTCAAAGGGCGGTGCCTGGGGGCCCCCCCAGGAGAGACCTCCCAGGCAACAGCTCCCAGAGCAGAGCCAATAAGGAGCCGCCACAGAGCTGCGGAGCTCCCGATTGGTGGGCGGATGGGCAGGTGCTGGCAGTGGGCGGGGCCAAGGTGCGGCCCAGCCACCAGCCACGTGCTTCCTTGCAGTGCACGGCGTGTGGGAGGAGTGGGGGTCCTGGAGCCTGTGCTCCCGCAGCTGCGGGCGGGGGTCCCGGAGCCGGATGCGGACGTGCGTGCCCCCCCAGCACGGCGGCAAGGCCTGCGAGGGTCCCGAGCTGCAGACTAAGCTCTGCAGTATGGCCGCCTGCCCGGGTCAGTAGTGCCCGTGGGCTTCCAGGCGGGCACTGCCCAGCCGGGTGGGGGTTGGGCGGCCCAGGGGAGGTAGTCAGGTCCAGTGCCCTGACTTGGGGGACCCACGGACTTGGACCAAGCCTGGGGAGTCTGGAGAGATGAACCTGCAGTGTGGGAGGTGACCCTTCCCCCACCCCTCCCTGGGGGTTGGCATGTGGTGACCCCAATCAGAAGAGGGCTGCTTGCCAGTGCCCATTCTTCCAAGCCCTGGTCTGGCTTTGCTGTTAATGGCACTTTGGTGCCCATGGCCGGTGGGACTGGGAGAGGACACAGAGCTGGGCCTCCGTGCAGGCGGTGCTCAGGAGGCCCCTGCAGCCCACGTCCATAGCCAGAGGAGAGCTCGTGCCTCGGCGCGGAGTGCGGGGGGTCCTGGGCTCTGGTGCTGGTGACGGGCAGACAGCACGAGGCTGGGCAGCACCTGCTCCCTGAAGCCTCCCTTCCCGCCCCCCATTCCAGTGGGTCTGGCTTGGCTCAGGTCCCAGTGCCAAGCAGGCCCTGTGGCCTCCCAGTGGTGCTCTGCCCCCACCAATCCTCACGACACGCTGCTCAACAGCCACCCCTGCTTGTGTCTCCCCATGCAGTGGAAGGCCAGTGGCTAGAGTGGGGTCCCTGGGGCCCGTGTTCCACGTCCTGTGCCAACGGGACCCAGCAGCGCAGCCGGAAGTGCAGCGTAGCGGGCCCAGCCTGGGCCACCTGCACGGGTGCCCTCACTGACACCCGGGAGTGCAGCAACCTTGAGTGCCCGGGTGAGTTCTCAGCGCAAGGGTGGCAAGTGGCAGCCCTGCCCCTGGGGACACCTGGGGCTGCTCATGCCCCCCCTCTCCCGCAGCTGCTGACGGCAAGTGGGGGCCGTGGAACGCGTGGAGCCTGTGCTCCAAGACATGTGACACAGGGTGGCAGCGCCGCTTCCGCATGTGCCAGGCCACGGGCGCGCAGGGCTACCCCTGCGAGGGCACCGGCGAAGAAGTGAAGCCCTGCAGTGAGAAGAGGTGTCCAGGTAGTGCCCGTGGGACCCCAGGGCCGGGGGGCTCTGTGTGGGCCCTGCTGAGCCCTGCCCTGCGCCCACAGCCTTCCACGAGATGTGCAGGGACGAGTACGTGATGCTGATGACGTGGAAGAAGGCAGCCGCTGGCGAGATCATCTACAACAAGTGCCCGCCCAATGCCTCTGGTAAAGGGCAGAGTGGCTCCCCCTGTGTGCCCCCACCTGGGCCCCCAGCTTCTCCGAGGAGAGCCCAGCCCCCACGCCCGTCCCTGTGTCCTGTCCCCCTGCAGGGTCTGCCAGCCGCCGCTGTCTGCTCAGTGCCCAGGGGGTGGCCTACTGGGGACTGCCCAGCTTTGCCCGCTGCATCTCCCACGAGTATCGCTACCTGTATCTGTCCGTGAGTGTGCCCTGCTGGGCTGGGCCCCGCAGGATCTTTCCCAGACTCTGGGGGTGGGGGAGGGTGAGGGTCGGGGGGAGGGGCCTTGAGTCTCACTCATTCCCACTGGCCTTGGTGTGTGCTGTGCATACGTCCACCTGGCTGTGCCGCTCCTTGTCTGGCAAGTTCCTAGCTGGACCTCAAGGCCTGGCTCTCGAGTGTCTTCTCTTAACCACCACCCCCCCCGCCCCGCCCCACCCCGCCCCTGCCACTGCTTGTGCTTCAGGGAGGCCAGCCGGTGCTCAGAGTGCTGGGACACAAATGAAATCATTTTTGTGTCCCCAGGGCCTGCCCTGGGGTAAGAGTGATGTCAGCGAATATGGCTGACCTGTTTGTCTCAGCGTAATCGGATGTTTGTTGTGGGTTTGCATCTGGAGCTCATGTTAGGGAGTGAGTGTGCACGTTCCCCTCCAGATGTGCACGACCCCTGGGACAGGAAGGGACCTGTCCCCATACTGTGCTCGTCATCTTCTGTGTGCACATCTGAGTGCCTCCTTTCTCTAGGTGTTGCTATTTCTCTCTTTTTTAAAAAGCATCTCTGGGATTTTCTCGCTCTCTGAGTCTCTTTCCTGGGCTCTGTCTCCCCTATGAGCAGCATTCTCTGACCCTGGTTGCCAGCAGTGGGTAGACAGGAGCTGGATGGGTCAAGGTCCGGTCCTGGCTCCCGACACTCCTGTGACACTGGCCCCCATGTCACCTGCAGCTCCGGGAGCACCTGGCCAAGGGGCAGCGCATGCTGGCGGGCGAGGGCATGTCGCAGGTGGTGCGCAGTCTGCAGGAGCTGCTGGCCCGGCGCACCTACTACAGCGGGGACCTGCTCTTCTCTGTGGATATCCTGAGGAATGTCACTGACACCTTCAAGAGGGCCACCTATGTGCCCTCAGCTGACGACGTGCAGGTACTGCCCTGCGCTGCCAGGCGAAGGAGGGCTGAGGATGGAGAAGCTGCAAACTGAAGGGGAGGCTGGGCCCCCCCTTGGCCATCACTGGGGAGCAGCCAGTGTGGCTGTACGGGGACCCCCCGACAGTCACTGCTCTGTTCCCAGCGCTTCTTCCAGGTGGTGAGCTTCATGGTGGATGCAGAGAATAAGGACAAGTGGGACGATGCCCAGCAGGTGAGGCACTGGCTACCAGGCTTCTCCCACGACCTAGACTCACCCGGGACCCTTACACACTCTCTGTCCCCAGGTGTCCCCTGGCTCTGTGCACCTGCTCCGCGTCGTGGAAGACTTCATCCATCTGGTGGGCGATGCTCTCAAGGCCTTCCAGAGCTCTCTGATTGTCACAGACAATCTGGGTACAAGGAGGCCGGCAGGGGAGGGAGGGGCCCAGACCTCGGGGGAGGGGGTGATTTGTGAGGGGACCATTCCTCGTCACTGTTATTTTTTTTTTTCGGAGCCCCTCTCTATTATTTAATCCTGTAATTCCAGTTTTCTCTCTGTTTCTTCCCCTATCCCTTCCTGTGTTCATTGCTGTGTGTGTGTGTGTGTTCCCCGGCCTTGGGGCCTGCGGCCACCTCCCCTGGTATGTGTCTTCCCGGCTCTGCTCACCCTCCTGCCACCCACCGCAGTCATCAGCATTCAGCGCGAGCCCATCTCTGCCGTGTCCAGCGACATCACCTTTCCCATGCGGGGCCGCCGGGGCATGAAGGACTGGGTGCGGCACTCCGAGGACCGCCTCTTCCTGCCCAAGGAGGTGCTCAGCCTCTCCTCCCCGGGGAAGCCTGCCACCTCGGGGGCAGCAGGCAGCCCTGGCAGGGGGAGGGGCCCAGGCACGGTGCCCCCCGGCCCAGGCCACTCCCACCAGCGCCTCCTCCCGGCTGACCCTGATGAGTCCTCCTACTTTGTGATCGGTGCTGTGCTGTACCGCACCATCGGCCTCATCCTGCCGCCTCCCAGGTGAGTGTGCCTGAGTGCAGAGATCCGCCTGCCTGTGCGTCAAGGACCCCTCGCCTGGCTCTGGGCACAGGTGCTTCTCAGAGGCATCCGTGTAGCTCCCAGAGGCCGGGCTGGTATCTCGGGGCTGGTGGACAGAGTTCTAGACTCCACCCGGAGTCTTGGGCCCTCCTGAGCTGTAGGCTGCCCCGATAGCTGCTGCCTTCCTATCCAAAGTGGCTTCGAGGGTTTTGACTGGGTCCGGGTGCCTGCTGGCTGCAACTGACCTCAGGCCCTGTCCCCCAGGCCCCCGCTGGCTGTCACGTCCCGAGTGATGACAGTGACTGTGCGGCCCCCCACCCAGCCTCCAGCGGAGCCCCTCATCACAGTGGAGCTCTCCTACATCATCAACGTGAGTAGGGGCCAGCTCATCGTGGGCAGCCAGGAGCCTGTGTGGTGGGGAGGCCGCGTGCCCCATCGGGTGGGCCGAGCCTCTGACCTGTACGGGGGTGGCGCACTTCCCGCCAGACCGCGCTCCTGTCTTCTGCTCCCCAGGGCACCACAGATCCTCACTGCGCCAGCTGGGACTACTCCAGAGCGTGAGTTGAAGGGTGCAGCCCCAGGCCCTCCTGTCGGAAAGGGCTCCTGCCTGGCAGGCCCAGAGGGTCCCTTGGTGCCATCCTTGGTCTGAGGGGTTGAGAACACATCCCGTGGCTCCCTCCTGTCACCTTGTGGATGAAGCCGTGCCCTGGGTTTCAGCCATCTGGGCAGTGACCAGCACTGGGGATGCAGCTGTGGAGCTGGGCCCAGGGCTCACTCCGCCTCTTCCCCACCCAAGAGATGCCAGCTCCGGGGACTGGGACACCGAGAGCTGCCAGACTCTGGAGACCCAGGCAGCCCACACCCGCTGCCAGTGCCAGCACCTGTCCACCTTTGCTGTGCTGGCCCAGCCGCCCAAGGACCTGGTGAGTGGGAGAGAGGTACCTGGGCTGTCAGGGGTCCCTTGTGACAATGCAGGTAGTCCTGGGAGATTCTGAATGTGTGTCTGTACGCATGCGAGCCCATGTCCCTGGGACAGTGCTCATGGCCATGATATGCCCGCCTGGGGACGTGTGGCAGTGGGTGATTGCATGGGTGAAAGTGTGCAGGTACCTGCGTGTGACCGGGTCTGCTCTGTGCACACCTGAGTACAATGGTGAGTGCATGTGGGTGTGCCAGTCTAGACTGCACAGGGAGACGGGCACCCTGCCACTGCCCTCTCCCAGGACCCCACCATCTTCCCCAGACCCTGGAGCTGGCAGGCTCCCCCTCCGTGCCCCTGGTGATTGGCTGTGCCGTGTCCTGCATGGCCCTGCTCACTCTGCTGGCCATCTATGCCGCCTTCTGGAGGTAGGTCGGACACTGGGCAGGCTGGGGTGGTGGGGTGCAGCCATACCAGGTTGGGCAGGCCGCCAGTGTCCCTACCCACTGTCTTGTCAGGTTCATAAAATCTGAACGCTCCATCATCTTGCTGAACTTCTGTCTGTCCATCCTGGCATCCAACATCCTGATCCTCGTGGGCCAGTCCAGGGTGCTGAGCAAGGCAGGTGCAGGCACCTGGGGGTGCTGGCGGCGGGGGAGGGGTCGGTGTCTGCAATGATGGGGTACGTGTGTGTGTGTGCGCGTGTGAGGGTGGTGAAAAAGATGTCTCTGTGTGTGTGTACTCAGCGAGGGGTGTTTGTGTACATCAGTGAATGTGTATTTAGCTGAGTACCAGGGGGCGGAGGGGCGTGTGTTGGGGGCTGGTGACATGGGGTCTCCACGTGTCCAAGAAGTCCCCTTTGCCACCTGCCTGAGGATGGCCTGTGCCGACTGATCCCTGTGCCCCCTGGCCTTCTCTGTGGTGCCAGTACCACGTGTGCCAGGCATGGGGCCTACCCGGCTGTGACGTGGCAGGTGCTCCTATCTGTCCCTCCCCGGCAGCCTCGTCTGTGTGTGGGCGGCCTCTTGCCGAGTGCTGTGTGCGTGTCACCAGGCCCGTGTCGTGCTATGTGTGGGTGCAGGAAGGCGGGGGTGCCTGGCAGGGCTCTGTTGGGGGCGGGGCAGCACCCGACAGCGTGCGTGGGACGCCTGGCGCCTCCCGCCCTGGCGGCTGCTCAGGGCCACTCCCTCCTGTTCCTTTCCCTGCAGGGCGTCTGCACTATGACGGCTGCTTTCCTGCACTTCTTCTTTCTCTCCTCGTTTTGCTGGGTGCTCACTGAGGCCTGGCAGTCCTACCTGGCTGTCATCGGGCGCATGCGCACCCGCCTGGTTCGCAAGCGCTTCCTCTGCCTGGGCTGGGGTGAGAGGGCCAGTGCTGGCCTCTGCTCTGGGCCTGGCGGGGGGCAGGGGCAACAGGAGAGGCCCAGCTCTCTGGGCTTAGGGGTCAGCTGGGCTGGGGGGCCCTGAGGCCCAGCAGCCGTCTCACTCTGGCTTCCCGGCTCCCCCAGGTCTGCCTGCCCTGGTGGTGGCTGTGTCCGTCGGCTTTACCCGCACCAAAGGATACGGTACATCCAGCTAGTACGTGGGCCTCCTGTGGCGGGGGTGGCGTTAGCAGCTCTCGACGGGGCCTCAGGCCCCTTGGGCTGACATCCTGACCCGTGCCACTTGTGGGTCTTTGGGCAAATCTTCTCCTCGCCTGTGAGGCTCAGTGTCCCTGTGAACGGAGGTGCCGGGATTGGATAATCTCTAAGACCCATGTGGCTGGGAGGTCAGCCTTGTCTCCTCCTCATGTTCTTGACCTGTGCTGGAGGGACACTGTGGCTGGGCGGGGCCAGCAGCTCACCCCCACCCTGTATGTGGGTGTGGCAGCCTGGGAGGATGCAGGGATGGTGTCTAAGGGTGTGTGTGTCGGGGTGTCTGATGGCCCCTCTTCTCCCCTGCCCCAGCTGCTGGCTCTCCCTGGAGGGCGGCCTGCTCTATGCCTTTGTGGGCCCTGCGGCCGTCATTGTCCTGGTATGTGTCCACTCAGCATCTTGCCGTCCTGTTCCCTACCTGCTCCCTGCACTCCAGGGGGTGTCCACTGCTGGGAGGGCACGTGGTGATCCTCTCTTCCACCCCCACCCCTGGGCCCCCAGGTGAACATGCTCATCGGAATCATCGTTTTCAACAAGCTCATGGCGCGTGACGGCATCTCGGACAAATCCAAGAAGCAGAGGGCCGGGTAAGGGGAGGGTCTGTGTGATGCGGCCTTCCGGGGAGACGGCGCAGGGAGGGGCGGCCTCGGGCACTCGGAGGCTCAGGGCTCGACGAGGCCGCCCGGGGCTTCCCGACCTTGGTGCCTCAAGGCTGCAGCAAGGCGGGCACCCGAGTGTGCAGCGGCTGCCCCTCGCCCACCCTAACCCAGCTCTCTCTCTCTCACCTGCCCTCCCCCTTCCCCCCACTTGGGGCTCGTTTGGCCCCTGTCCCCTGGCTTCCCATGTGTTTCCCCCTTCTCCCGTGTCTGTGCCGCCCCCGAGGTCGGAGCGGTGCCCCTGGGCCAGCCTGCTCCTCCCCTGCTCAGCGTGCGGAGCGGTCCCCAGCCCCCTGCTCAGCTCAGCCTCGGCCAGGAACGCCATGTTAGTCGTGCCCCCCGGGGGGCGGGGTGGGTGCTGGGGGTAAAGGGGGAGGCAGTGTCCATGGTTGGGGAGGGAGGGAGAGCAGCCCAGTGGCCCCACCAGCTGCCACACGGTCCCGAGGGCTCGGTGAGGAGGTGGCGAAGGGTGATGGGGGGTGAATGTCTGTGACTCCTGAAAGTGCTGGGTTCCTGCGCCCACCTCTGCCCCGACCCCACTGCCTGCTGATGTTGTCCAGGCGCAGCCGCCCTGACGCACCGAGGCTCAGACACTCCTAGGCCCCTAGAATTCCTGAGCTGGAACCTTAGAGAGTGATGGGATCTTAGCGCCAGCCAATCGGGCTGTTGGAATGAGTGAATCATAGCCTTATCATCCGCTGTGGAATCGAAGACTTGGAATTTCCGGGGTGTTGACTCTCGTAGTTAATGGGGGACTGAGAATCACAGAGAGAATTAGTTCACTGAGCACTCCTTCCCCCAGCAGCTGAGCACCCGAAAATCCTTGCTGTGCGAGAGTGGAACAAGACACCCCCCACACCCCCCAGCACTGGGCCTCGGGCCCAGCCTCCCAGTGAGGCCCAGAAAGCCACTGAGATGCCCTGGCCAGCGAAGGCCCAGCCTTATCTTGCACACATCGAGCAGCGGGGAGCTCACTGCCTCTGGAGGTGGCTGGCACCATCGCCATGAAGCTGCATGTGGCAGTGAGCTCCCTCCAGGCTGGGCTGCGGCTGTCCCAATCCTGTCTATTGAACCAGCAGTTAACAGCTCGGGCATCGCGGTCAGCCAGCCTGGGTCTGTGTCCCAACTCCACTCTCTGCCCAGCTGGGCACACTCCAGTCTGCTCATCTGTAAATTGGGATAATAATCCCTGTGCCTGTGTATTGGAGTTGTTTTGATCACAAGCTGAAATAATGTATGTAGAGTGTTCAGTGGAGGGCTTGGCAGAGAATTGGTAGTTAATCAATGGCAGCTCTTATTACTGTGATTAGACCCTCTCTCTTGGTTTCAGCTCCACCTCCGGGGGCTGCACAGACCACGGTGCTCAGCCCCTGCCAGGCTGAATGGCCCTGAACCGCCCTTGTAGGACAGGTCTTGGCCCCCTGCCTCAGCTCCCCCTGTTGTCTCTGTAGAATGCTGCTACTCTGTGCTGTGGAGCCCTGCCTGGCTCTCCCGCCAGGCCCGTTTGTGAGGCACAGTGGGCTGGGTGTGGCATCCGGCCCAGTAGGGGCAAGACGGCCTTGTCCCACCCGGACTATGACAGGTGGGGCAGGGTGAGGCCAGCCTGGGAGCCAGGGCCCTGTCTGCCTTTTTCCTCTGCCCTCCCATGGCGAGGGGGCCGGGGGTGTGAAGGTTTGCCCCTGGCCTCAGCTTTTACCCCAGCCCCAGCTGCGGTCTTTCTGCTCAGGGCTCTGAGCAGCCACTGGGAGCTTGGCGCCTCCCTGAGGGACTTGGGGAAGCGCCTGCTTCGCGGGCCCTGGCCCTGTCCCCCCAGGGCCTGTGGCATCCCTGCATGCTCTGCCTGTGTGATCTTCCTGTCCTGTCTGTCTCAGGCTCTTTCTCTCCATGGCTGTTGCCTCTTTGTTCCTCTTCCCCTTGGCCTACCCAATCAGACTCTGGGGATGTGGCCCGGACCTGTGCATTTCTTAAGAGCTCCCCAAGGTGAATGTGTGCGAGTCTGGGGCTGAAGCTGCAGCCTCTGCCTGTGCCTGCCTCCTCTTCTCTGCCACCTCCTCTGGCCCTGATGTTGCCTCCGGCTCTGGCTCAGCCCCTGCGTCCTTCCTCCCCCTCCCTGGGCCCGGCTCCGGCCCGGCAGTGCTCTGCTCTGTCTGTGTTGTTTCTCCGCCTCCGGCTCCTCGGCCCCTCTCTGCCTGGGGACATGGGCAGTGTTGTCAGGCAGCTCCAGGGCCCCCAGCTGAGTGGAGGCTGAGGCTCAGGCCCCTCTGTCCCCTGGAGCATCACCCTGATGAGTCTTCTGTCTGTGTCCCCCCAGGGCCTCACTCTGGAGCTCCTGCGTGGTGCTGCCCCTGCTGGCGCTCACCTGGATGTCCGCCGTCCTGGCCATGACAGACCGCCGCTCCGTCCTCTTCCAGGCCCTCTTTGCTGTCTTCAACTCCGCGCAGGGCTTCGTCATCACCGCCGTGCACTGCTTCCTGCGCCGGGAGGTGGGCTGGGCCTGTCGCACCATGGGGGCTGGGGGACATCCAGGCCCTGCCCCGGGTGCTTGAGGCCCGTGGTGGGGACACTGCGAGCCTGGAGCAGCGGCAGCTGCAGCCCAGCCTGGTCCTCGGCCTCTTGGTTTCTGGGGCTCCTTCTCCCCTCTACTCCAACCCACGTATCTTCACCTTCCCCGAGGCTGCGTGTGTTTCCTTGCGCACTTGCCTGGGTGTCTGGGGTGGGTGAGTGGCAGCTTCAGGCCCACAGAGACCTCTGCCCCCAGGTCCAGGATGTGGTGAAGTGCCAGATGGGCGTGTGCCGGGCCGACGAGAGTGAGGATTCCCCTGACTCCTGTAAGAATGGGCAGCTGCAGATCCTGGTGAGTGTGGAGGCGTGGGCAGGGCCTGTGTGGGTTCAGGGCCCCGCACCGCCGTGTTCCCGCCCTAGGCCACTCGCCTTCTCCATCATGTCGGGGAGAGGGGACAGAGACCCAGCTGGATTCAGGCTCAGCCGCTGACCTCTGGGTGGCCCTGGGCAAGTCTTCCCCCATTTAATACCCCTCTCTGCCAGGTGGGGCTGGGGGTAGACTTGTCTGGGCTCAGACAGGCAGATGCCGTGGGCAGCACCACTTGTGAGCAGTGCTGGGCGGGAGGGTCCCGGCCCCTGCTCCTCCCGACATGGATCCCTCCTCTGCCCACCTGCCCTTTCTCTCTCTCTGCCTATAGTCAGACTTTGAAAAGGATGTGGATCTGGCTTGTCAAACAGGTGAGTGTGCCGGCCAGAGAGCTGAGAAACGGCCCCAGGGATGGACAGTGGGTGGGGAGGGAAGCGCTGTCCTGGGAAGCCCTGTTGGGGTCTGGCTGCTGGCACCCAGCTTTGGAGTCAGATGGTGGGGTCAGCAGAGGCAAAGCTCTGAGTGCCACCTGCTGTGTGACATGGAGATGCCACTTCCGTCTCTGAGCCTCAGTAACCCTCTCACGGCAGCGAGGGCTTCGGGGCCACTTACCATCTTAATGCTTCTGGTGTGTGAGCAAGTGCCAGCCCCCCGACACTCAGTTCCCTCCCCCGACCCCACTCGGGCTTGGTCTGGGCTTGGTCCGGGCTCCTCCTCCACAAGCCTCACTCCTCCACCCCCACCCAGTTCTGTTCAAGGAGGTCAACACTTGCAACCCGTCCACCATCACCGGCACGCTGTCCCGCCTGTCCCTGGACGAAGATGAGGAGCCCAAGTCCTGCCTCGTGGGGCCCGAGGGTGGCCTCAGCTTCTCACCACTGCCAGGGAACATCCTGGTGCCCATGGCGGCCTCGCCGGGGCTGGGGGAGCCGCCCCCGCCGCAGGAGACCAACCCTGTGTACATGTGCGGGGAGGGTGGCCTGCGGCAGCTGGACCTTACATGGCTGCGGCCCACCGAGCCGGGAGCCGAGGGGGACTACATGGTGCTGCCGCGGCGGACTCTCAGCCTGCAGCCGGGGGGCGGCGGCGGCGGAGGCGGCGAGGAAGCCCCCAGAGCCCGGCCTGAGGGGACCCCCCGGCGGGCTGCCAAGGCGATGGCCCACACCGAAGGCTACCCCAGCTTCCTGTCTGTGGACCACTCAGGCCTGGGGCTGGGCCCTGCCTATGGGTCTCTCCAGAACCCCTATGGGATGAGCTTCCAGCCACCACCGACGCCCAGCGCCCGCCAAGTGCCCGAGCCAGGGGAGCGCAGCCGGACCATGCCCCGCACCGTGCCCGGCTCCACCATGAAGCTGGGCTCCCTGGAGGTGAGGGGGGAGGGCCCCGCTGTGAGCCTGCACTGGGGACAGCGACCTTGTCCCGGGCCCCTGGAGGTGTAGACGCTGTGCATCCCCTCCTTGGGCACTCAAGGCAGCTCCATGGAATCCCTGACAGTGGGCTTTGAGCGCAGAGTGGGTGCGTCGCCAGTCAAGTCCCTTGCGCTGGCTTTGGCACCTCCTTCAGGGTGTGACAGTTAGGGTGAGGCCAGCACGGAGCCCGGGCTGGGGCAGGTGTTCCGCTGCTGTCTTGTCAGCATGGGGCCCGAGCCTGGGCCTGCACGTCATGCAGGTCTGAGCTCTGGTCCGGACTGTTGATTGGCACTGAGGCCCTGAGTCCCTCTCTCTCAGCCTCGGTTTCTCCTGTGGAAAGCAGGTGTCACTGTCCTCATGGAGTTGTCTCAAGGACTAGCCGAGTGACGGAAAGCATTCATTTCTGTGTGGGAGGGGTGGAAAGTGCTGGGTAATTAGGAGTTGCTGCCGTTGTCAGCCCTGGAATCAGCTGCCCCCTCCGCCCTCACCCCTTCCTGGGCTCGAAGCTCCTTTCGTATCCCAGCCTCTGTGGGTTTTGTGGGTGCCCCAGCTCCCCTCCCCTGCCCCCAGGCCTGTTCCTGTAGAGGATCACTGGGGATAAGCCAATGGTAGTGGCCTACAATAGGACCCCAGAATGTTCTAGAATTCCAGTTGGAGGGCTGGCAGCGCTGTGCATAAGGAAAAAGGGGCCAGAGTCTCTGCTTGGATGTGATTGGCAGCTCACGGTCGGCCTCGGAAACCTGCTGCCCCTCCTCCGCACGAAGAAAATTAAGTTAGCAGCTAGGGGGTTTGCAAGTTTAGGTTTTTCTCCCAAAATGTTTCGTGAACATTTGGTGCCTGCTCCTGCCGCAGATGGCGGAACAGGAAGGCGTAACAAAGACAGAAAATCCGACACTAGCGCCAGAGCGGGGTGCGCTCAGTGGCATGGCAGGTTTTGTTCTATGGACACCTGCCCGTGCCTGGGCCGCCGAGCAGGGGCTGATGGTGGGCTCCTCGTGTGGGAGGTGGTGATACATGTGGTGGTGTCCTGAGGGGTCAGAGATGACGTCCAGAACCGGGTGGGCAGCCGCAGTGGGGCAGCGGAGGCCGAGGTGCGGAAGTGCAGTTTCCGGCAGTTAGGCACAGGTGGCGTGGGCGGTGGCCGCGGGATGCCAGGCACAGAGAAAGGCCTCCTGCGGCCTCCAGGAGCAGTGGGGGAGAGAGTGCCTGGGATGCAGGGGACGCATGCAGGTGAAGGGCAGTGGGAGCCTCCAGGGAGAGAATCCTGACTGGCCGGGCGGTAGATGGAGAGTAGGGGAGAGGTGGGAGGAGAACCAGGGCAGTGGGGGTGTGGTCTAGGGTGGTGAGCATGCTCATCAGGCCTGGGGCGTGGGAGCTGCAGATCCAGGTTCTAGAATCTCCCCCGAGGGCCTTGAGGCAGGTCCCCTTTTCCTGGGCCTCGGTTTGCTCATCTGTGACTTGGGAGAATTGGCCTTGGTCTCACAAGTCCTCCCTCCGGCTGCCAACATTCTAAAACCCTGAGGAGTGGCACGGGGCACGGCCTCGCTGTGGGGCCTCACATGTGGTCTCAGGCCCTGAAGGCGTGGAGGGGCGGGAGGCGGGGCTGTGGTTCGGCAGGTGTGAGTCCCTGAGCTTGCAGGACAAGGGGAGGGTCCTAGAGACCGGGAACGGGGCCAGGTGGGACAGGGGGAAGGGGCGCAGGGCCCGACAGTGATTCTGTGGCCTGTGCAAGAATCTGTCCCAGCCGTGCTGGACGTCCATCCTGCGTGTGAGCTGTGTCATGCGTGTGTCAGCATGTGTGCTCCCCTGGGCATCTGCCTGCAGGTTCCGCTATGTGTGTGCGTTTTGGGCCTCAGCCTTGTTCTCACGACCCCAAGGGCTGCCCACTAAGGATTCCCAAGTCCTGGGCCTGGGTTTGGGGATGGTGCATCAGGCAGGACCCTGGGGAATGGTTTCCTGTCTGGAAGACCCCTGCCTTTGGTTAAGAAGCTTTGTTCTCTTTCGCTGCCTGCTCGGTGCTCCTTCCCAGCGAAAGAAGCTACGGTATTCAGACCTGGACTTTGAGGTGAGTGTGCGGGGGGCGAGGGGTGTGCTTGCCAGGTCCGTCCCTGGAGGGTCCTCTCCTGAAGGCGCCCAGGCCCCATTGCCGGGCCTCTCCCCAGGCCCCCGAGCCTGTGGCTTCCATGCAGTTCCCTCTGCCCAAGCCCATAGTCCCAGGAGGCCCGGCAGCAGGCAGCTTTGCTGAGTGCCCGGGTCGGGGGGCGGACGGCGGATGGCTGCTCCGGGGGCACGCCCCTCTGACACCTGTGGCTCCTAGAAGGTGATGCACACCCGGAAACGGCACTCAGAACTCTACCACGAGCTCAACCAGAAGTTCCACACTTTTGATCGCTACCGCAGCCAGTCCGCGGCCAAGGTGAGGGCTCTTCCCGGGACTGCTCTATCCTGGAGCCCAGGGTCCAAACTGCTGCCATAGCCCCTGGGGACCCCAGGACAGACAGGCCGCACAGAGAATGCCGGCTTTGTTTCTTAGGGCCGGGGAGAAGGGCTTTGAGGGCCGTAGTCCCTCCCTGCCCGCCGGCCACCCTGAGCCACATTCACCACGGGCCTGTCTCACAGCTTGTGCAACCATTGTGGGCTACACAGGGGCTGGGGAAGGTACTGCAGGTGGCGGATGGGCCAGGAGGGAGGATGGGCACAGGGACACGGTACCAGGGGCCACCGAGCAAGAGCCCAGAGCTCCAGCTATGGAACCCTGCAGACCTGCACTTGAACTCTGTGTTCGGCTGCTGTGTAGCATGGGGCATTCGGGCTCAGTTTGCCCTTCTGTGCGGTGGGTAGAGGGAGCTGGCCCATTTCCATGGCCTACACCGTTCCCTCCACAGGAGAAACCCAGCCCCGGGGAGCGCCCCGGCCTGGCCCAACAGCGGCGACATCAGAGCTGGAGCACTTTCAAATCCATGACACTGGGCTCACTGCCCCCCAAGCCCCGAGAGCGGCTGGGCCTGCACCGGGCGGCAGCCTGGGAGCCCACAGAACCACCAGACGGCGACTTCCAGACAGAGGTGTGAGTGCCGCGCTGGACTGCCCACTGCGTATAAATATATATATCTCTCTATTTTCACACTCCACTTTGGAACTGCCCAGGAGCCAGCACCCCCTCCCCTCTCCCGGGGGCTGGGCAGGGAGGTGCAGAGGACTCAGCTGGGCTGGAGGGGCCAGATGTGGCAGGGCCGGGCAGAGGGGAGGGAGGCCAGGACCCCTCCTTGTTTCTCAAAGCCCCCTCTGCCGCTGGAGCCTGTCTTCTCCTTGGCCTGTCTGTCCCTGTCCCGGGCTGGGGAGGGGGGAGGGGTACTTTGTGGGGAATAAACTTCACTCTGTGGACTTGTCCGCTGAGCTGTTTGCTTCCACTGTGATAGCCCGGTCCTGGATTCCTGACTTGGTTCACCTCCCTTGGTCCCATCACATTGTGTGTTGTGGGGAGCAGGGAGGATGAAAAGGGGGACGGGGTGTCAGGTCGACCCCGACTGGATGGAGAGGTGCAGCCTGGGCTCAGACCTCATTTTGAGTGCTGGCTCTCCGGCCTGGGCTGGGAAGAGCAGATTGGAAATGTGAGGTGGCCTGGCCTTGCCCAGTGGCTGGTATGGTCACGGCTGTGGTTCACTGGGCCTCAGAGGCCAGACTGCCTGGGCAGGAGCCGGGGCAGAGCTTCGAGACCTCAGTTCTCCACCTGTGAAATGGGTCTGGGAATAGTGCCTGCCTCATAGGGTTCTTACGAGGACGGAAAAGACCCATCTGTGTCAAGCATGCAGCGAGCACCTGGCCCCGCATAAGCTCTGCAGAACTATGGTTGTCCTTGGTGCTGGTCTCCTGCTGTCTTCCTGCTAGGAGCTTCTCTCACGAGACCCCTGGTCCCTCCCAGCAGCCTTGCTGGGAGGTCTTCAGTTGCCCATTTTATGCATAGGAAAACAAGGCTGGAGATGGGAAGTGACTTGCTCAAGGCCACAGTCAGAGGCAGAGTTGGGACTTGACCTCTGTGGCTGCAGGCAGCTGGGTTGTGGTGGAGTCAGGCCAGGGCTCAGGGTGGGAGTGGCAGAGGAGCCAGGCTGGCATGGGGAAGTGGTCAGAGACTCCCTGCTGTGTTGCTTTCTGTACAGGCCTGAGTAAGTGGGCCCTTGCTTGGCTCTTGGACACCCAGGAGGAAGGGCATGGGCAGCACGTGAAAACCTCTGGCAGGGCTTGTATGGCTCTTCTGCATGGGCTCATTTAGCAACATGGGCAGCTCTGGGGGGACCCCTCCATGGGCTCAGAGACCCAGGCCCAGGCCCTTGGAGAGCTAGGGGTGGGTGAGGTGCCGTGGGAGCCTGAGAGGAAAGGAAGAGGGTACCGGCCACTGGGAAGGAGGAATCGCAGCTGATGGAGGGGTTGGGGAGGGGGATGGCAGGCCTTGTTCTGTCCGAGTCTGGTCTCCTGGAGCCTGGCAGGGGGCTGTGTGGGCAGAGGCCCGTGATGACTGTGCGCCCGCAGCTCCCCTCTGGCAGCCCGGCACCAGAGTGTGCCAAGCGCTGGCTCATGCACCGGCTCATTTCATCCTTCAGGGCGGGTGTTGGGAAGCTCCCAATTTACAGATGAGAAAATGGAGACCCCCAAGAGGGGATGAGACTTTCCCAAACTCCCTTAGCTTCTAAGAGACCACACTGGGACTTGTGGCCAGGAGTGGCATAATCTGACACCAGCAGCCAAGGCCCGGAGAACCTGCCCACTCAGAGGCGAGTGGGCTGCAGCGAGGGCAGCCGAGGCAAAGGGCCGGTCTTGAGTGAGGGGACCCCGGCGCACAGAGCCGCCCGCTGTCCCCTCCCCCTCCCTTTCTCTCTCTGGGGGGGAGTCTCATTCTCTTAGGCAGACTTCCCCTCTTTGGGGAAGGAACTCACTTTCTTAGATTCTACTAGCAAACCCCCAAGGAAGGGAAGGAGGCCTATTCTTAGACCAGGGTTTGCCCAAGCAACGCCTCTGTCCCTGACCTTGGCCAACAGACCTTACCTCACATTCTGGGTCAGACTGTTCTCTGAGCCAGCACTGCCCCCACATGAAGGCCTTAGTGCCTTTCTCTGTGCCCCTGGAGCTCCCCTCCCAGCACTGGGCTCCACCTGCCGGCACCTCTGGGGCTCCTTGGTGCTGAGCACTGGAGTGCGTTTCCCTCCTTGCCCCTGGTTGACTCTGCTTGATCAGCATCTGTGGCTTTGAGACCCTCTGCTTCTGGGGGCAGAGGCCAGGCTGTTCTAAGAGGGGTGCTGTCCCTCACTGCCCTGCAGTCCCTGTTCCCCTGGCAGTGGCCATGCGACATGGGTTTCCTGATCTGGGAGAGGACTTGGCCTGATACGCTTCCATTTGGGCTCATCTCCAACCACCTGCCGCTCCTCTCCTGGACTTGTCCTTCTCACATCATTGCTCTCCTCATTTTCTCTGCTTCCAGTCTCCAATTCTTTGACCACTTGGCCCAAGTCTGAACTTTCCAAAATGTGGATCTGGCAGGGCCTCTGCTCTGTTTAGCCACCGTCCATGGATCCTAGAATTTGCCTAGAAGGCAAGGCCCTTGGGGATGTGTCTCCTGCCCATCTCACCTCTGTGCCTGTGCACATGCATTCCTCCTGCCTGGAACTCCCTCCTCCGCAGGCAGACTGGCAAACTCCTTCATGCTTCCTGGTCCCCTCCTGGCCCAGCAGTCAGCAGTTGCTGGGCACCCACACCCCTTGGCACACCCTGTCACTTCCTGTCACACTGATCACACAGACTCCCTATCAGCTGTTTCCCCTTGGTTTGGGTTTGTGTGCTCAGCCAAGGCCCATGCAAAGCATGCCTCCATGGATCTTTGCTGAGTGAAGACGGCCTGCACATTGGTCTCGTGGTCTCTTCACTGGCAGTGTGGGTTGACAATGATAATCTCTCCCCTGGCTTCCTCCCGGAGTGTCTGGAGCATGAGAGGAGTCATGGGAGCACTTTTTAGGGGTCATCTAGGCCTGTCCCATCCATTCCTTCCTGGGCCCGCACGCTAGCCTAGGACTGGAAGCAGGAAACCAGTCCTGGATGCTGTCCAGGGTGCTGAAAGGGACCTAGACGTGGGAGACAAGACAGAGGCTCACTGACACTGACCTGCAGTCACTCCCTGCCTTCCAGACCAGGCCCAGGGGCTAGGGAGGGGCAGTTCATGTGTGAACAGAGGCTGGCCAATAAAAATACAGTGTAAACTATATATGTAATTTAAAATTTTCTAGTAGTCATAAGTTTTAAAAAATTAATAATTAATCAAAATATATAAAGAAATGAGCATTTGGACAATGAATATAAAAAGTTACTGAAATGGTTTACATTTGTTTTTTATACTGTCTGAAATCTAGTATGTGTGTGTATGTGTGTGTGTGAAGATTTTTATTTATTTGAGAGGTAGAGTTACAGAGAGAGGACAGAGAGAAATCTTCCATCTGCTGGTTCACTCCCCAAATGACTGCAACAGCTGGAGCTGGGCCAATCCAAAGCCAGGAGTCAGGAGCTTCTTCCGGATCTCCCACATGGCTGCAGGGGTCCAAGCACTTGGTCCACCTTCCACTGCTTTTCTGGGCCATAAGCAGAGAGCTGGATCGGAAGAGGAGCAGCTGGGACACAAACCAGTGCCCATATGGGATGCCAGTGCCACAGGCAGAGTCTTAGCCCACTATACCAGAGAGCCAGCCCCTAGAGTGTGTTATATTCACACGCATCTCAGTTCAGTCTTGCCACATTCTGTGTGCTGAGTACCCACAGTGTGGCTACTGCCTCCCATACTGGACAGCACAGCTCTAGGCAGAGAAAAGCAGTTACCTTGGGCAAGTTAATGCAGTGTCCTCTGTGCACAGGAGGTGCCCAACTGGAGCCTAGTTCCTGGGTTGTGGAGAGGTGGTGTTGAGGGCTGTGGGTGGGCTGTGGAGGGGTTGGTAGAGGAAACTCCCTGCAAGGGTCTATGGCACTGTTCCTAGAATCGAGGCATTCCTGGGATAGAGGAAAGGAGAGTGGGGAAGGAGAAGAAGGTACGAGGCCTACCTCAGCAGGCTGGAGGGAAGGTGTGCCCCCATCCCTATCCCCACCCACACAGCCTGTCTTCTCCCAGCCCACTTGCAGCCTCTGACCCTGGGAGACACGCAGCAGGTGAGGCTGGCATTTGAACAAACTCATTAAAACTCGATTGGGTTTAATTTACTTCCATTAGACACCAATTAAAAGGAAATTCGATGGCCTGGGTGGCCTTTGGGAGGACCTGGGGGTGGGGTGCTGCTGACTTCTGCAGCTCCAGTCATTCCCTTTCAGGCTTCCTCATGCCCACCTTGGCAGTGCATAGGATTTTGGTTGAGGTTTTATAAAAATGGTCTTCAATCTGTCCCCATATTCCTCCCTCCAAGGCCACCCACTCCGGGAAGATCCCCTCCCCCAGGCCCTCAAATCACACTGTCCAGGGCAGAGGAGGCTCCACTGAGGACTTTGGCCTTTAGACTAGTTGGAAGCCTAGGGTATTGAGCAGAGGACTAACGTGATCCAACACCCATATCCACAGGACTTCCCTGGGTGGATGGGAAATGGACAGCAGGGCATGGAGGAGCAGGGGTGGATGCAGAGACCAGTAAGGAGCCCACCCATGTAAAGGAAACCGGAGGGGAGCTGTGGAGGAGGAAGAATGTGCATGTATGTGGTGGGTAGCATTGTCAGCCCCTGGTGGGGCAGGTTTGGGAGAGGAGCCAAGGATGGATGACCAGAGGTTGGCTTAAGAACACAGGAAGAAGACCAGCTTTGGGAGAGACAGTTGTGAATTTGGCCTTGGACGTGTGAACTTTGGGATGGTCAAAGGGAGAGATCTGTAGAGGTAGGTGGTTGGACACACAGCGCTGGAGCTCAGGAGAGGGGCTGGGCTACGGTCATGGATGTGGCAGGAAGCCAGACAGGAATGGGCCATAGAGTGAGTGGGAGGTGAGGAAATGCGGGCAGTGTAGACAGTTCTTGGAGCAGTGCTTTGAAGGGGGAGGGGGGCAAGCTCAGAGCTACAGGAGGGGGCTGACAGTGAATTAGCTGGAGAGGTTGATGGAAGGTCTCCAGGGGTGGAGAGAATCTCCTCAAGATCCCGTGTGATGGCAGACCAACCTTACCACCCTGGGAGGCAGTCCTGAGCCGCAGGAATGGATATCACAGAGATGGATTCTGCTCATTGGTTGGGCTCTGGGCCAACTATAGTTCCTGAAGGTAGGATGGGGGGTGGGGGTGGGGGGGTGCGGTGGCAGGGACCACTCAATAATACCTGGATTCTAAGACCTGGAAAGAGGGACCTCTGGCTTCCATGGGGAAGCTCCCTGGACACAAGATGG